AACAGGGAGCTAGCTAGCCCTGTAGTTCTCTCTGGTCACACTTAGATTACATGTCAAGTTTCCACCAATGAAATTAGGTAATGTTTTCTTAAAAGTACTAATGCCTGATGTGAATCCAAGAAATTGAATGATTTGTAATGTTCCAAATTTATAAATGTTCTTGGCCAAATATCTTAAGTGTCTTGATTAATAAGCATTATAACAATCACAGTTGTAGATTACGAAGTTTATAGCACACCAGATACAGCAACCCAATAATAGATACTCTTTTTTTTGGCAAGTCGCGTTGGTTATATTTCTAGGCGTGTGGATAGTTTCTTAATTTCAGTTTTACGTAACAATACTGAAGCTAACACTAGCATTTATATACACACATATATAGTTGATTTTTACACTTGAGAAGCTTCTTCAACTATAGAGAATAGATGGGAGTTTTGTAATACATATTTAACAGTATAAGTTATGCATATTTCTAAATATAAACTTAATCTAAACAAACGTTGATATTAAAATAAATATATAATAATAAATCTGTCACAAAGTTAGTTTCCCAACTGCCAGGCAGAAGCTTATAAAAGTTATATTGTTCAGCTTTAGTTAGTACTTTCTACATTTGTTAAAGTATTTTGGCTAATGGTTATTTTCATCTTTTCTTGTGATGAGAGTTTGTAATGTTTATGCTTCATTTAATATAAATATAGAATATTTTTGCAATTTGTAGTGTTTCCTCACTTGTTATCAATAAATCTTTTATTTAACTTATTAGGGAACTTTTGTGTACACTGTCAAAGGCTGAACTTCATCTTCTGGAGCGCACTCTCTGTTCTCTTGATGATCCTGATTGCATATTATCTTCAGATCTGAGTTATTGTGAAGAAGGATTTTCTTTTCTTTCAGAAAGTTATTTTGGCAAAACATATGAAAACTGTAAACAGTTTATTAGAGACTTCTATTTGTTCAACTTTGGTCAACTTCCCACAGAAATTAGTGAACAACAAAACATTAGTGCAGAGGAACCTGAATCTTTTCTTCCCCATGATTCGTCTCCCAGAGCTACTGCATCAAGTACTTCAAGTTTTAAATCTCTCAGTTCAAGCAGCCATAGTGTGATACTTATCACAGAAGAGATGAGTCAGGATGAAGATGTCTTCCAAAATGGTGATGATGGGTTTTCTTTTGAAGTAAATGTAACTGAAAATAATTTTTTAGGGAGAATTATAGAAGACAAGGCTCAGATAGTCTAAAAGAAAGTTTTGATGACACTCATCAAAGTGATTTCTGTGTATGTGAAGGTCAAGTCATAGATAAAAGTGAAAATGGTGCTTGTGCTGTTGAAACTGATGAATTAGGCTTGTGTGATTCTGACTTTGATAACAATAACAATAATGTATCTGCTCATCAAACTGGGTATTGTATATCTCAAGTACTGTCACATTTGGACATTCCAGATTTACCTTCAGTTTTGGAAGAATCAAATTCAGTTCCTGGGTCTTCCTCGAGATCTTTACCTAATGATGTGTACATAAAAAATAGATTAGCTAAGAACTCTAACCATCAGTCTGCTGGCCACAATAGGTTTGCTTCTCATAGTTTACATCACCAAAAATCAAACATGGGACAAGTGATGTGTACATCTCTCTCTGAAGCTGGTACAATGTCTGCTTGTTCTCTTACACACAATCCAAATCATGCTATTAGTTATTCTCAGTGTAAATGTGATAACCAGGATAACTCAGACTATAAGAGAAGTTCACCCTTAGTGATTTCAGAAGTATGCAAACTCAGACAGGAGACTGGAGGTCATCTTCCTTCATCATGTTCCTCCTGCTCAATTGGTCATAGCATTACAAGTGTTTCTAGCTCTGACTGGGAAACAAGCAGGTTAGATTATAATGGTGTTATTCAATGATAATGTTTTCATGCATACATTGTTTTACATGTATATATTATTTTCCAAGTAAAAAAAGTGTATTTTAAAATAATTAACTCGTGAATTTTTAAATGTAAAATTTTAAGCACTTCCCATGATGGTTTGAAATAAGATTTTAGAAATATAAAAATTATAAAGATTTAATTGTTGGTTTTACAATAATAATTTTTTACTATTTCAAGAGTTAACAGGCAGTCCTGATGTTAAGTCTGTACCAAGAAATTATACTAGAATAAGGGACATTGATAACAAAGTTAATTGACAATTACTGAAAAATATCGTTTGTTTTATGAAAACATTAAACTGATTATTGATAATTATATTGCTATGATTCCATCTTAAATTTAAGTATAATTGAAATGGAATTTTTAGAAAGAATAAACATTATTATTTTTTCATAAAAAATCACTAAGTAAAATCATTTACAGACTGATTCCTATTAGTATACTTGCTGACACATAACTATTTCAGATATACTTATTGAGGAATTTATTTACTGATAAATATTGTGTAAGGTTATAAACCTTTTTGATTAATGAAGTATTGTGTTTTAATTTTTGATATGGGTAGGTTTAGTTAGAAATATTTTTAATGTACAATAGATTTTATGAAGAACTTAAAAACCTAGTGTTGATGAAAGTTCTCTTGAAACTGCAGACTTGCAACTTGTGTAAAAATCAGCAAATAAAAGTAACATTTTCCCTTTCCCCTTTGCAACCAAAGCACAGGGACAAACTCCCACCATTCTGCTGGCCAGGATGATGAAGAGATTTCACTGGCTCTCCAGGAGCAAGAGATAGCATTCCACAATCAAACACGGGCTCACTTCAAGAACAGTACTGAGTTAATACATAGATTATTTGTCTGTATCTCAGGTGTGTACAAATTATAATTTTGTGAAATGTTTGTTTTGTGAGGGAGAATAAAATTCAATATAAATATGGCTTAAAGTTAATTGCATTTCCAATGTTCTTTTCATGTCAAATAATACTCTGCTTGCTGCAGGATTTTAGAGGACAGTAGTAACTTGCATCTTTTAATTTGTCTTTGCTATTTGAATATTCTTGACTGACTGAGCTTTCATCACTCAGAAGATAGTGTTGAAACAGAAAAAAGCTTAAATATTTTAATATTTTTTCTCTCACCATAGTTTTAGTTGCACATAAACCTTTCTTATCATGACACGTTTTACAGTTCTCACTACCTGTAACATGTGGATTGATTTTATTTATCTGTTCTTTGTTTGCTATTCTGTGTTTTTGCCATTATTGCTGTAAAATTTGTATGTGTGAAAGTAAGTGTTTCTAACAAGTTTTGATCCTGTACAAAGTATCAGCAGCTTTTGTGTGTGTGTGTCTATATATATATAATCTAGGATTTTTTTAACAGAACACTTATTATTTAATTATATATATATATATATATATCTGTGTGTATAACATAATTTATACCTATGCATGCACATGCACCTACTGCCTGTTGACAGAAAAATAAGTTTGAATTAGAAAGGAAAAGGAATGAGGTGTTATGGACCTATAATGTGAAAATACCATTGAGTTCATTCATGGCCCTTCAAAACTTTTATTTATATTAAAAATATCAATTATAAAGGTGTTTGCAGTTACAAATGAAACATTTTAAACCAAAAATTATCAAAAGCACTTTGAACAATAGTAAAGGCATTAATGCAATGAGGTAAACATCCTGATTCAGTGATGGTGCATCTTTTTGTACATGTGTTCCAAAATGCATGTACTAAAACATGTTGAGTGTTTTGTTGAAATACGTTCTTTTTTCAAATTTCAAATTGGTTTGTATAGTTTGATTTGTAACATGTAGAAACAGTTTTTCATAAAAATTATGTTGACAGTTGTTTTAAACTAATTTTAAAAAATATTACTTAATACTTTAAAATAAAAACCTAATAAGCTCATTTCAAATAAATTGTAGAACTGTTTTTCATTAAGATATTTTTATTTCTTAATATCTAGATTTCCCAGTGGGTTAGTGGTAAGTGTATGGATTCACAATACTAAAATCTCGGGTTCGATTCCCTATGGTGGACAGAGTGCACATAGCTCATTGTTTAGCTTTGCACTAAAATAACCTTAATATTTATATTAATTTAAATTCAGATTTAAATTTAAAAAAAAGTAAATACTAAACTTTAAGGTTTGGCTTATCTGTTATATAACTTGTTATTAGTTTAAAATCAGTAACATTATATCATCTTGAAACTTAAATTTTTAATTTCCAGTTGTATTTAATCAACTTAAAAGAACAACAAAAAACAAAACAATAAAAATAAAATAAACTTTTGTTTGGCTTTTATTTATTTATTTATACATGTTTAAAGTTGTAACTTGTGCCTGTCTGCAGTAATGAATATTTAAATCACATCTGTAGTTGAAATGTTTGATGTTAGGCCTTTCCAATGAAAGGATCAAGTATTTGCTGTGTTCTGCAGCTAATGGCTTTCTTGTGAGTTTAAAATGCAATTATGTGGAACTTTTTGATCAACATTTAAAAAATTAAAATACCAAAACAAAATATTTTTTTTTTTTTTCAAAACAGTGTCTCACAACAAAAATCATGGACATTTCACAACATAAAAAATGAGATAGAAAAACTAAATCAAATTATATGAATTTCTGTAAGCTAGAACTAAATACTATAGAACAATTGTGTCTGTAGAAAATATCCATCATACACTCAATCATGTGCCCAGCTGCTCTTTCCAACAGTACACAAAACATTCATAAGTCATGATATTTGGTGGTTTAGTGATGTCAAAATACATAGATAAATATGTTTAATTAGATTTACTGTTGTTTAACTTTTAATTATAAAAATGGTGAAAGCTAAAATATTTGACTTAGGTCTGTGTGATTCATCACATTTTGTACATAAAGATGTGTGACACTGCAACAATTATACCCGTTCTTTAAGTATTTAGTAAGTTGGTTCCAAGTTTCTTGTAACTTTGTTAAATATTTCCAATTTCAGAAGGAAAATCAAGATATCAGTAACACCCTCTCAATGTGGAAAGTGTTAAGATGCATATTTCCTAATTTCAGGCATCCTGTGAATGCAAAAGTTTTTCCGTAACTTGATTTATTTTGTGTCCAAAATGCAGTTTTTTGTGGTAATAATTTTACATAACGGTGGAAAATGTTTAGCTGCAACAAATGTGAACATAGCTGCTTAATAGTCAATATTGGTTGCTGTTCTCGGTCTGCCCCCACTGTATCCAAGTGTGTGTGTGTGTGTGTGTGTGTGTAGCCACTGATAAGCATGTCCTATCATCCGATGTGAAGGATGATCTTCATTAGGGAATTGTTCAGTATACAATTTGGCAATATCTGGTTGTTCTGGTGGTACTCTGTGTATATTAGGACTATGTTAAACTATCCTTCAACTGAATACTGCACCATGTTTTGGATGATTTAGGAGCAGTAGCAGCACAGTACTTGTATGTGCTACCTTATGTAAGGGCTTTTTGACACCTAAATCTTGGGGACCTTCAATGGTTCAATACCCCAAATTATGACCTTTCACCTGAAACCTGGTTATGTGATCAGATTTTTATCTTCTGTTTTACAACTCAATATTCTTGGAAGGACTGCTTTTATTCTAATAACTTCTTGTGAAATGATTTTCTTAGTTTTTAATTTGAAATGTTTAATTTATTATTATCTGTACCTTTGCCATTGACATCTTGGATGTATAATGCATGTTACTAAAAGTTCCGTTGAAGGTATCATTGAATGACCTCAATGCTGTTTTGTCAATGCTGACTCACAATATGTCATCCCATACCACTAGCAGTTATTTTTTTTATACTTTTCCATTTCTGAATTATTTTGGCTGTCAATAGACTTTTGAATCAACTTGTATATTACAGAACACATATAAATTAAACCTTGTACATCCTTGTCTCAAAATATTTGGCAAGACAATTATAAGTTTGTTTTTACAACTCTTTGCCATTTAGAACTGTGGTATGAATTTATTTTGACTCTAATATTTTTTATTCACTTATGTTTGTAAGAGTAAAATGAAATGTTTTCTACTTTGGTGTAAATGTGCATGGTTACATATAGCAACAGTTTGTTATTCTTGCCTTAGTTGTTGAGAGCTATGCTGTATCTTGTCTTAAATTCATCTTAATTTAATACAGTATCATGCTTCATTTTAGGGTAATTATTACTTTTACCATAAGCTTGTCTTTTTCTTTTTTTGTGGATTGGAACAAAATCCTTGAAAGTCCTATATTGTTTTGATACATTCAGTTTGGAATTTATACTACATTTATTTTTATCTAATTTCTATTCACATCAAATACACCTACATTTTGATATCGTTCTTACGATGGTATATTATACACATTGATAATTGTCAATAAATATGAAAAGCATTGCTTGTGTAAAACTGATTTAAAGTACTATAATTTTTTATACTTTCAATAATACTATAAAGGTTTGGTGTTAATATCATATGCTGACTGCATTTTTGCACTGTTGTGTATGACATCTAGACATGAGAGTTCATGTTTGAAGAATTTTTCTTTTCAGAAAGAATGATTTAAGTTTTTTTCTTGATGTAGGTGTAGCAGACCAGCTTCAAACTAATTATGCCAGTGATCTGAGAAACATCCTTAAGTGTGTTTTTGACATAAACTGTACAAAAACAACCCCTGAATCAAGTAATTCAAGATGTGACAACTTGCAGTGTAACACTAATTTGTCTGAAAGTTGTGAAGTCAGTATTCCTAACAGTGAAATTACAGCTGTCAATATAGGAAATGAAGAACTTGATATCCTTGTGGATCATGAGGAGATTGTTGCACAAAATTTGAATAGATGCTTAAACTCTGATAATTACTCTATATCTGTCCCTGAAACTCAGGACAATGTTGACAGAGCAGAAGAGGTTGTTCCTGAACACCTTATAATTGAATCTAGATATACTGGTCAGCTTGGTACTCGATTTCAGTCTCACTTCCAGCAACCAGCACCTAATTGTGAAGGTGAGTACTGAAAAATAAAATACAATTGCTGCATCCTTTTATCCAAGTTAATGACTGACTTGATTTTTCCGAGAGCTTTTGTGACCTACTAAGAATCGAGTTTTGTTAGTCCTCAACCTAAATACATCACATTTGTGTGTGTGTGTGTGTGTCAAAAGACATAAACAGAATAATGAGACATGAGCTTAAGGTTAAATTATTATTTCAGTACATAGCACTTTCACTACATTAAAGTAGCTCTTCAGCCTAACAACCACTTTTTATATTTTGACTTGTATTGTAGGTATACAACTTCTAATCTAACTATTGCATAAAATACAAAATTAAAATCTTAAAGCTCTTCACTAGTGTTAAAGCAGCAAAACATACTATAAGCCACTGTTATGTTGACTGCTTAATTTCATAGACAATATCATAAGACTAATTACTAAGTTGTTGTTACAGGACCTCCAGTGTGGCTACCTGACTTTATAACAGAACACTGTATGGCATGTCTAGCAACATTTACATTAATTAGGAGAAGACATCACTGTCGAAACTGTGGAAAGGTGAGAAAATTTGTGGATTTGGCTACATCTTTATCCCTAGAAAGCCAGCATTACATTTTCAGTCATTAACACTGGGTGTTATGGGGTGAGAGAGATCCCAAGCTGGCATTTTAGGGTTAAAGCACTCAATAGATTTATGGATATTAGTAATTGTAGATTATCAGAAAAGCACCAGTAATTGTGCTGTATAATACGAGTTAGAAAATCATTTTCTTACTTGGTAATGGGTATGTTAATACACCACATCAACTGGCAACATGTGTTCAGTCACTAAAGAATAATGTCTTAAAAAATGAATTATTGGACTTATTGATATGCAGTGTTACAACTATTACCCATCAAAATATCATACTTTGTGAAGTTAGGCATTATACACCATTAGATTTGTTTTAACTGAAATTAGAGCTGGGTAATTAGTGGAATTTGCCAATTGCTCTTTATGTGATTATAATCAATTAATTCATTAGTACATGCATACCCCTACTGGGCATGCCCATACAAGCAAAAATACAAATGCTTGTGTGTTATCTTCATGACTTATATCAATGGTATTTTATTTCTGCAGAATTTTTTTCACGCAAACATAATACTTTGTGAATGAATTATAACTGTCAGCTAAACAGTCTCTATTATGTTTCTTTTTAAAATATGTAGTAATCCTTGAATAGAGTTGTTTAAACATTTGTTTAATAACAAGTAAAAGCTTGGAATGGTCTATTCTTTCATTGGGGGTGTGTCGGAGAATTCCACTCCGAAACTAATCTGGCTCACAGACACCCCC